TGCAGTTAAGGATTCCATTGAGTGGATATCTTCCACCCTTGTCACCCATTGCTGGAGGGTAGGCGCCCCCCTCTGTTTCCACATTGCCGGGATCAGGGCCTTTGCTGCGTTGAGTAGTGGCAGCGTGAGAGATTTCTTATATGTCTTGACGGGGGTGGGGGTGTGGTGTAATAGCATCGTTAGGGGGTCTAGGGGTAGCTCCGCTCCTGTGATTCTGTTTATCTCTACCCTGATCTTCTCCCAGTATGTGGTGATCTCGGGGCACTTCCACCAGATGTGGAAGTACGAGCCGGTGTGCCTGCCGCATCTCCAGCAGGCATCTTCATGCGATTAAGTATGTCAGGGGTTCTGTACCAGCGGGTTAAAATTTTGTAATTCAGCTCCTGGTACTTAGAGCTGATAGAGCATTTATGTGTGAGGATGTAGATCTTGTCCCACTCCTGCGCGGTAAGGGCTTCCCCCGAGTCCCTCTCCCAGTGATCCTTAAATTTGAGCACCACATCCTCACTAGTTTGGGTCTTGAGTATGGTATGTATAGAGGAGATACCTCTATGTATGTGTGTTCGGTGTACGCACAGGTGTTCAAAGCTGGTGAGGGGTCTAGTCAGGTGCCCTCGACCATGTAAGGATAGGAAGTACGTCTTAACTTGATGGTATCTGAATTGTTCGAGTATCGTCGGTGGTCTATCGGGGCAAAGGTTTCCTAGTGGTTTAAGTCCCTGAGTGTCAAGCCATTGGTGTAGGTACATCCAGTCTGCCTGCTGAAGGCCGGCTAAGTCTTGTGGGGATAGGGCATCGGCCAGGTCCGGGTTATGTGTGATGGGTGTTAGGGGGCTGGGGGAGCTGGTGAGTTGCAGTCGATAGCGTATAGCCATCCACACTCGGAGCGTGGCGTCGATTAGTGGGTTCTCGGTGTGTAGGTTGGAGTATGTGGCGGTGTGTAACCAAAGTCTAGAGGGTATTTTCCTGCCCGTTTGTTCTAGTTCCAGGGTCACCCATTGTTTTAATGGGTGTTGTGCATGCCAGTCCGTCAGTCTGTGCAGGTGTGCGGCGCGGTAATACATCTCTATGGAGGGCAGTCCCGTGCCCCCCATCAGTTTTGGTAGTTCCAGGGTTGATTTTTTTATTCGGGTTGGGCGGGAGTTCCAAACGAATCTGCGAATGGCGGTCGTCATGGAGCTGAAAAAGGCTCTGGGGAGAGTAACTGGCACTGTTTGGAATAGGTAGAGTATCCTGGGTAACACGTTCATTTTAACCGCGTTGATATGTTCGAACCAGGAGATGTAATATGGGGCCCATTTCTTAAGGTCTGTCTGAAGTGAGTGTAGGAGTGGGTGATAGTTATGGTGGTATAATTGGGATGGGTCCTTGGTCAGCCATATGCCCAAGTATTTTAATTTGATATCGCACCATTTGAACCTGTATTGGGTGTAGAGGCGTGTTGGGGGGCCTGTAGGGGGTGGGAGGTGGAGGGCCTCAGACTTATCCGTATTGAGTTTAAGATTAGAGAGCGCCCCAAACTCCCGGAAGGATGCTAGAAGGTTGGGCAGTGAGATCAATGGCTGTGTAAGAAAGAACAGCATATCGTCTGCATATGCGGCTACTCGGTATTCGTGGCGACCGAGGCGGAATCCAGAGATTCCCCCATTCCGTCTGACCGCCCCCAGAAATGGCTCTAGGGAGAGGGCAAACAGGAGGGGGGAGAGCGGGCATCCCTGGCGGGTGCCATTCCTGATTGTGAAAGGGGCTGATAGTGCCCCGTTGATGCGGATCCTCGCGTTGGGGCACGTGTACAGTGAGAGCACCCAGGACAGCATGTTGGGGCCGAATCCCATGTGTGTGAGGGTGCTCCCCAGCAGGGCCGGCCTTAGGGGTGTGCGAGCTGTGCGACCGCACAGGGCGCCATGGAACAGGGGGCGCCCTGTGGCCGACACAGCTCACTCATGGCCGGAGTGCAGGGGAGCTAAAAGAGGTACCTGGCTGGAGGATTAATTATTCTCCACCCGGGTCTATTTAAAAAAAATAAAAAATAAAAAAATCGCGGCAGAGGGGGCGGGGTTTACCGAGCGGCGGAGGCGGGGCTTATCGAGAGGCGGAGACGGGGCTAATACCTCCCGAAGCCCCTGCTGTACAGGAAGAGGGAAAGATGCTTCCCATCAGCCAACTGCATCCACTGGAAAGAGGTAAGTGTGTGTGTGTGACTGTTTGCCTGTTTGTGTGACTGTCTGTCTGTGTGTGTGTGTGACTGTCTGTCTGTGTGACTGCCTGCCTGTGTGCGTGTGACTGTCTGTGTGACTGCCTGTCCTTGTGTGTGTGTGTGTGTGTGTGTGACTGTCTGTCTCTGTGTGTGTGACTGTCTGTGTGTGTGACTGCCTGCCTGTGTGTGACTGTCTGTGTGTGTGACTGTCTGTGTGACTGCCCATGTATGTGACTGCCCATGTATGTGACTGCCTGTGTGTGTGACTGTCTGTCTGTGTGACTGTCTGTCTGTGTGACTGCCCGTGTGTGTGACTGCCTGTGTGTGTGAGACTGTCTGTCTGTGTGACTGTCTGTGTGTGTGACTGTCTGTCTGTGTGTGTGACTGCCTGTGTGTGTGACTGCCTGTATGTGTGACTGCCTGTATGTGACTGCCTGCCTGCCTGTGTGTGTCTGTCTGTAACTATCTGTCTGTGTGTGACTGCCTGCCTGTGTGTGTGACTTTCTATCTGTGTGACTGCCTGCCTGTGTGTGTATAACTGTCTATGTGTGTGTTACTGTGTGTCTGTCTGTGTGACTGCCTATGTGACTGTCTGTCTGTGTGTGTCGCTGTAGCTGTGCCATTGTTTGTGCCTGTGCCTGTATGTGTGACTGCCTTTAACTGAGTGTGTGTGTACATGCCTGTAACCGAGTTTAAATTTCCCCCACCCCCTCCTGTCAAGGCCGCACTTTGACTGACAGACGCTCACTCACTGACAGACGCACACTCACTGACAGACACACACTCTCATATACACTGACAAACAATGACATACACATATACACTATTACTTGGACACACACTGACAGATGCACACTCTCACTGACAGACGCAAGCACTCACTGAAAGATGCACGACTCCACTGACCGACACATACACACTGACTGACACACACTCACTGACCGACACACACTCACTGACCGACACATACACACTCACTGACTTACACACTCACTGACCGACACACACTCACTGACGACACATACACACTCACTGACGACACATACACACTCACTGACTGATACATACACCAACACACACATTCACTCACAGACACACACACATTCACTTACAGACACACACAACTACACACTTACAGACACACACACACACACACACACATTCACTTCAAAATAAACACTCACAGACACACACACAGACATTTCCACTAACACTCACAAACTAATATTTTTTACATTTATTTTAAATCCACCCAGCCTCCCTGGGAAAGCTGGAGTGGATTTCTTACCAGCAGTCCAGTGTGGTTGCTGGGCAGGCAGGCAGGGGGCGCACAGGCTGAGTAAGCAGCGCTTAGTGATGCCGGGAGCCGGACTGACGTCATATTCTGGCTCCCGGCTTCATTAAGCGGTGCAGAGGAAGCTGAGCAGGAAGAGCTCAGGTGAGTATGCTCCTTCGCTGCCCGCTGCCAGCCTTGGGGGGGCTCAAAAGTGGCCAGCCGGTCAGCTCTTGAGCCCCCAGGATGCGAGGCAAGCAAGGGATCTGCCTGGGGGTTTGGAGGGATGCTTTTTTTTGCCGCCCCCTGCAAAGTGGCGCCCATGGCAGATGCCTTGTTTGCCTCGTGATACACACGTCCCCGGTGCCTGTGTGTGTTACTGTATTCAGGCAACTTGGTGGGAGGTGGGGGGGGCGCCGTGAAGACTTTTTGCACAGGGCGCCTAATTGCCTAAGGCCGGCCCTGCTCCCCAGATACGACCAGCTCACCCGGTCAAAAGCCTTTTCGGCATCGGTGGAGAGTAGTAGAAGTTCTCTACGATGCGTCCGTGCTATGTGTAGGATGTTCAGAGCCTTAATCGTGTTGTCTCTCCCTTCCCTACCCGGGATAAACCCAACCTGATCCGAGTGTACCAAGTGGGGAAGGTGTCTTGCAACTCTCAGGGCAATGGCTTTTGCGAATAGTTTCAGGTCTGCGTTTAGTAGCGATATGGGACGGTAGCTCGCACAATTCGTCGGGTCCTTGCCCTCTTTAGGTATTACAGTACCTATGGCTGCTAACGTATCCGAGGGGAAGCGCCCCCCCGCCAGTATGGAGTTGAGGCCTAGTAAGAGGTTTGGTAGTAAGATGTCCTTGAACGTACGCAAGTACATCAGAGGCAGGCCGTCTGGTCCTGGGGCCTTGTGGGTTTTGGAGATTTTCAGGGCCGCCGCCAGCTCCTCTACCGAGAGGGGTTGGTCTAGGTCGTCTCGCATTTCAGCGGTCAGCTTTTTATCTATATTTTGTTCCAGGAATTCAGTGATTTGGCGGGTCTGTCGTGTGCGGGCAGCGTCAGTATTGGGTTGGGGAATGTTGTATAGGTTCGTGTAGTAGTCTACGAACGCACGCTGAATTCCGTCCGGCAGTCTGGTTTCAGCTTTGTCACTGGGCTTAATCTTGTGTATGTGGCTCGCCCTCTGACGGTCTCGGAGCTGGCGGGCTAACAGCCTGCCGCTTTTGTCCGAGTGTTCAAAAAAGAACCGGGCCGATTTTCTAAGGGTGCGTAGAAGACCCTGAGCTAATATGTCTCTTCTCTGCCGTCGGAGCGCAGTTAATTGGAGGTACGTGTCTTCGTCCTGACTCTGTTTGTGAGCTTGCTCTAAATTAGCTATTTGTGCGTTTAGTGTTGTCAGCTGTCGTGTGTGTTCCTTCTTCCGTTGCGAACAGACCTTAATATAGTGTCCCCGTACGACACATTTATGTGCTTCCCACACCGTCAAGGGCGATACGTCGGGGGTTGTGTTGGTGTCAAAGTATTGTGTTAGTGCTTGCCTAACTGGGTCCGTGTCTCCTAGGTTAAGCAGCATATTCTCATTTAGCTTCCAGTGTCTTTCCGCTGGTTTGTGCAATGGGGATTGGATCTGGACTGAGACCGGGGCGTGATCTGACTCCGCAATCAGGCCTATGCTTGCCTTGTGGAGTAGTGGCAGGGCTTCCTGTGCCATGAAGATATAGTCAATCCGGCTGTATCGCTGGTGCACAGCCGAGTAATAGGAATAGTCCCTGCTGTCAGGGTGCGCCGCCCTCCAGCAATCCACTAATCCACTTCTTGTCAGTGCTCTCCCGACTGCGCGTGTGCAATGACCTGGTATTGAGCTTTCTCCCCTAGAGGTGTCCAGTCTAGCGTCTAACGGTGTGTTAAGATCTCCCGCCATAAGTAATAGGCCCTCCCTGAACTTATTGAGCAATGTAAGTGTTTTATTCAGGAAGACATGTTGGTTACGGTTCGGGGAATACAGACAGGCGAATGTGTAAGGGTGTTGCGCTATGGTCCCTTTGATAAATAAGTATCTACCCCCTGGATCTGTTCGTTGCTCTGTGCATACGAACGGAACATTATGTGAAAAGAGGATCGCCACCCCCGCTTTTTTTTGGTCGGTGTGGTTAGAGTAATAACCTGTGGGGTACCTTCCGTTTTTCAGGGTGGGGGCCTCCGCTCCTTTAAAATGCGTTTCCTGCAAAAACGCCACCGAGATGCGTTTCGCCCAGAGTGTACGAAGTAACTGAGACTGTTTCTCGGGTACGTTTAGGCCTCTGACGTTGTTCGACCACAGGGTAAGCGGCGCCGGTACATAGTTAGAGCCCACCCCTGTCTGCTCGTGGGGTAGGGTATGGGTGTGTCAAAGTATCGCAGGGTTCGGGGGGGGGAAGGAGAGAAGTCAGGTCAATGTCAGGGAGGGGTTGTGGGCCTGGGTAGAAGGTAACTATGACTCGCCTCGGAGTCAGTCGCCCACCGGTGTCTAGTCCCTTCGGGGTCTGTCACCAGAGTAGCCTCCGAGAATTTGTACAGTGTGAGTCAGTCACGTGGGGTTCGTGGGTCGTCCGTTCTGGGGTAAACCGTCGTATGAATCACACTGCTCCCACGGCACCCAGCCCACTAATCTTGTTTAAGTGGAATTTTCCCCTACGGGTATGGAGAGGAAGTATGAGGGTGCCACCTCCCCATCACCCAATTTCCTCTCTGTTCTCAGGGGTCTGATTAATGCGTGTCTAGTTGGTATTTGGGCCCCGCTGCTACCAGACGGGTCCGGCCTCTCCAAGTGCCCCCGCCCCGGCCAAGCCCTCCCGGCTCCAGGGGCCCAGGCGTTTTTCCAATCCCCTTGTGTGAGTATGTGACCATCTAGGTGTGGTGCGAAACATGTGAACTTCATCAACGTTAATAACAATAACAACTTTACAGACCAGTCCACCGCCATTAACACTCCCCTCTCCCCCAGGGACTGTACCCCTCCCCTCTGCTCCCGGTTTCAGCCGGGGGATGTGGTGTCCTATCCCGCTAGCTGGCTTGCTAATCCCTTCCGGTGTTGGGCGATGCTTGGTTCGTGGGACCCTCTGGGCGAGCATGGGACTGTCCAGCCTTTATCTTGGGATGCAACTCAGGTAGTCGGTGTCCGCTAATGCCTCCCCCCTACCCCAACCACCCAAAGGGGGGATTCTGTGGGCGGTGAGTCCGAGACTGTCAAAACCTGGGGTGTCCCCCTCCTTTCATCTTCCCCGGGTGTCTCCCGTTCCCATCTGATCCCATCTCCCCAAATATGTGGCACTCCATTGTCTCAAGTCCCGGTAACTCTGGCTAGTGCATAAATACTACGGGCCCAGGATGGAGGTGCAAGTACATATCCAACGGTGTGTCAACTTCTGCTTACGAAGGGTGCTTCTCCGGGGCGATCCTGGGGGAGCGGTCCGGTAGTCTGTCTCACTGTGGTGCGGTTTCTGGGTCAAAATGAGGGTGTGAAAACTGGGGAGTGCCGCCGTCGGTGGGTGCACCAGTCACCGCCCTCCGTTATTCCTCGTGGCTGTCCGGGCCGCCCCTGCGGAACCCAGCCCCAGTAAGGCCCGTACCCGACCTAGTGTTTGGAGCATTTGGGCGTTGTGGCTGTCTCTCCAGGACCCAATTTGAGACTGTCACGGCTGGTAGGTTCGCGGCTCGTAGAAAGCACGGCACGTCTGCTGGCCAGCATATGATATGCCATATATTGCTCACCTTTGCCTGTAAGCTAAAGGGGAATCCCCATTTATATTGTATCCGCCGATCTCTGAGCAGGGTGGTTAGCGGTCTCAATGCCCTTCTCGCTTCCAAGGTGAGTACTGAGAGATCCTGGTATAGGGAAATCTGGGCATCCATGTAGGTGAGGTTCTGCTGACTTCTTGCTTCTTTCATGATTTCGTCTTTTAACGAGTAGAAGAGCAGGTAGCAGATTACGTCTCTAGGCGGCCCCTCAGCGGTCACGGGGCGCAGGGCTCTGTGTGCACGCTCAATTCCAAAGTCTGCCGGGGCTCTGTCTCCTAGTATGTGGGTGAACAGGCCCAGCAGGAGCTCTGGTAGTGCTGATTCAGGGAGACCCCTTACGCGGATGTTGTTCCTCCGTCCGCGGTTGTCCAAATCTTCCAAATTCCTCCTTAGCTCCAACAAGACATTGCCTTGTCTAGTAGTGGCTGTGTCAGTGGCTTGGCGGTGTTGTATGATTTTGGCGCGTTCTGCTTCTAATTCCTCCACCCTGCGTTCCAGTGCTGTCAGGTCTCTCCTCACCTCCATGACCTCTTCTCTGATAACCGCTCTTATTTCGGCCAGCAGTTCTGTTTTATCCGTCCTGGACATCATGTTTGCCGATATTGTGGCCAAGTCTGCTGCAATTTGGGTCAGTGACTCCTCTCTGGCTGGGCCTATTGCTGGGCTGTCTGTGCTGCTGGCGTCCGGCGCCATTTTGGCCGCGGCCTGGTGCGCCCGCGTGTCTTGTGGTGTTCCGAGGTATCCGTCCATGGGACCCGCGGTGCGGCCCGGTGAGCCCGTTTGTGAGGGGCCAGGGGTGAGTAGACTCTTAGTTTTACCCATCTCGGGTCAATTCGTGCCTGTGTATCGGTGCGGTAGTGAGCTGGGGCCTAGGAGCTGCAGGGAGATGCGTCTCACTCCATACCCGGTCAGGCCACGCCCCCCCTTATTCTATATCATATGAGAATTCCCCGAACACAAATATATATATATGTATAGATATGTATATATATATATATATTTGTCACACATGTATGTGAGAAAGAACACATCTTTGCTTTCATACTAACCCTGTGTGAAATATTGCTAGATAAAGGACATTGCATACTGTCTAAAGCTTTTAATTTTCCAAATATTATATATCATTCATATATAATGAATGAATGAATATATGAAAGATAACACTTGTGTGAATTTACATCATTTTAATTTTTAATTTTGTCTGCAAAGCAATCCACACACAAAAATGTTGTGTTATATCCTTATATGTTAGCTATGCATCCCTTGCTTCAAATAAAAGTTATGCTAATATTTTTTTCAATTAAAAACTATTGGTAGTAAAGAGGTTAAAGGACAACTCTGGTCTTTCTTATTTCTGTGCTGGGAGTGAAGCAGGAAAGACCATAGGGACTAAAACACTGTCTGCCCCACGGTGCATGTATACGGCTCAAAGATCCTGTCATATACTAAAGGTAGGGATAAGGGTTTTTTTTACATATACTTAGTTTAAAACAGAAAACAACCTATTTCATTATAAAATGAGGTGAAAGGATTATTACATTGAAAATAGGTTGACAGTTGTCATTTAACTTTTAAATGGCAGAAAATTGAGCAGTGAGACTACAGAGACATAATCTATTTTATACAACAAATCTGAGTCATTAAACTAAAGAAGTTTTGGTGACAATAGTGTCCTTTTAAGTTCTCATTTTATAGCACCAGATACTGGTAAGAAACTGCATGCTTCTCCCACCTGGTTTTTCACCTTTCACGTCACTGGACATAGAATAAGTGTAAAAAATGTACTTTGTAATGGTGTTAATGTAGACTCTTTCTTAATTTCTTCTTGTCTTCAGTTGATTGATATATATACACGTCTTTTGTATATATATTCTTGGGCCAAATGCTCGCCACAATAATATATGTCTATATTATTGAAAAGTAGTAATACGCAATCTGACTTACGGTTTCTTCAGGTTTATTCTTAGTTACGGATACATAAAACAACAAATGATGTTACAGGATAATGGACATTCAACAGCAGATGGTAATTGCTGGACTTCTGATGGGAGAGTTACATCGTTGTACAGAGCCAAGCCAAGACTGAGAGCGACCTCGTGTCCCTCTGTTACTATAAGGAAGTGCTAATACTAACGTCAGCATATAACTCTAGCAATATAAGGACAAAACCCCCACATCCACATTCTAGAGCTCTCGGACAAAGAAAGCCTTGTGACTTATTGATACCATCTGTTACTTATGTCAATCCACACATCCATATATATAATCAATAGAAACATAGAATATGCAATATTCTACAATAAGGGAGGAAGAAAAATTGTAGATTATGCTAACGCAGTGTACCTATAATCTTTTATTAAGGACAGGATTCCAGCAGCACAGATTTAACAATAAAGTTTAGTGAAAAAAACATTGCAACAGGGTATAAAAGGCCTCTACCCCTGTATCTCTTCCTCTTTCTTTGATGCAATATAACAAGAAACACATGCTTTAAATACAATAAACAACAATAACAATGAAGATTCAGACTGTAAACGATCCAAATCCCAAATGGATGGCTTTTGTAGAGTGTGAAGACGATCCCATGTATTGATCCATGAAGGTGAATCAAACTGAAAAGAAACAAAAGATGTTAAAGGGACTTGGAAATGAACTGTTTGTCATAAATACATTAATATATATATATATATATATATATTCAAATTGTGTGTAATAAGTAATCATAACAAATAATTAATTGTAATTTCAATTTGTGTGATATGAAATAAATCACATAATAATTAAATAAACACGCCCCCCCGAATTCAAATCTTTATTGAAGTAAAAACCAATGAATCATATAAACATGGAGGGAAATAAAGGGTGGGAAAATACTTGCCTCCTGTCCTTAATAAAATTAAGATTATAGGTACGCTGCGTTAGCATTATCTACAATTTTATAACATGACAGAAGGCATATTTGCATTTTTAAAGCTGTGGAAGAAAAGCAAAAGAAGCATGAGAAACCTGACGGAAAGAAAAAAAAACGGAATGCACTTTCTCTAGCAGAGTCCACAGATCGCAATATGTTGGTAGGCGAAGCACCCACTGGAAAAACCTTCTATGTGGCTGAGTCCTGAACCGAGTGTGCGCCAAAACAAGAGTCTACAGTTGCTAGAGATATCAGCCAGCAAATGAAATAAGAAGCGGTATGCGCTACATATCCTAGTAATGTCTCCACCACGCAAAGGTGGGGAACAGTCCGAAAACTATATATGAGACGGAGGAAAGGTCTGTTTTAGTTCGACGCGGAATAGAAAACGACATTCCTTCCAGAATGAAGGAAAAAACGTCCACGTCGAACGCTCGAACGTCCGCAAACCCATCGAAAAGAAAAAGACACAAAAATTTAAGTTTAGCTGAGAGCAGGCGCAAAGACAATTCTGTAATGTCTTGCCATTCACAAAGAAAATGTAAAACTAGATCCATGTCCCACATACGCGAGTATTTGGGAGCAGGTGGTCTAGACAGGCGAATCCCCCTCAGAAGGCAACAGACCAGAGGGTTCTGGCTCATAGGAATGCCCTGTAGGGGAACATGAGCCGTTGAGGTAGCCGAACGCGTAACAATGATACGACTTACCTGACAGAAAAAAATGGAATAAGAAATTTAATACGGCAGTAACAGGTGCCGTAAAGGGATTGAGATCCCTCTCTATACACCAATTACTCCACCATGTCTATTTTGCGCCGTAGCTCCTTCTAGTGCCTGGGGCCCAAGAGTCCCCTAGTAGTTCCTTAGTTGATGGCGATAAGCAATCGAATGACCAGGATCCCCTGAAACCATCCAGGGCACTTGGTCCAAGTTTATTTATATCGCTTGCTAAACATTTTATTGAGTTGGGCCACTCTGTAGCGCAATTACGTTTCCAAGCTATAGAAGGTATCAAGACACCTTTGCCTGGCTATTCCCTTGCAGACTCACTTAAACGTGCGGAATTACGTTGGATTTATCGCTTGAACACACTATTCCCTTATGGGTTAAATGAAGACTGTGATTTCAATCCTTTTAGGTTCTGTTTTATCCGTCCTGGACATCATGTTTGCCGATATTGTGGCCAAGTCTGCTGCAATTTGGGTCAGTGACTCCTCTCTGGCTGGGCCTATTGCTGGGCTGTCTGTGCTGCTGGCGTCCGGCGCCATTTTGGCCGCGGCCTGGTGCGCCCGCGTGTCTTGTGGTGTTCCGAGGTATCCGTCCATGGGACCCGCGGTGCGGCCCGGTGAGCCCGTTTGTGAGGGGCCAGGGGTGAGTAGACTCTTAGTTTTACCCATCTCGGGTCAATTCGTGCCTGTGTATCGGTGCGGTAGTGAGCTGGGGCCTAGGAGCTGCAGGGAGATGCGTCTCACTCCATACCCGGTCAGGCCACGCCCCCCCTTATTCTATATCATATGAGAATTCCCCGAACACAAATATATATATATGTATAGATATGTATATATATATATATATTTGTCACACATGTATGTGAGAAAGAACACATCTTTGCTTTCATACTAACCCTGTGTGAAATATTGCTAGATAAAGGACATTGCATACTGTCTAAAGCTTTTAATTTTCCAAATATTATATATCATTCATATATAATGAATGAATGAATATATGAAAGATAACACTTGTGTGAATTTACATCATTTTAATTTTTAATTTTGTCTGCAAAGCAATCCACACACAAAAATGTTGTGTTATATCCTTATATGTTAGCTATGCATCCCTTGCTTCAAATAAAAGTTATGCTAATATTTTTTTCAATTAAAAACTATTGGTAGTAAAGAGGTTAAAGGACAACTCTGGTCTTTCTTATTTCTGTGCTGGGAGTGAAGCAGGAAAGACCATAGGGACTAAAACACTGTCTGCCCCACGGTGCATGTATACGGCTCAAAGATCCTGTCATATACTAAAGGTAGGGATAAGGGTTTTTTTTACATATACTTAGTTTAAAACAGAAAACAACCTATTTCATTATAAAATGAGGTGAAAGGATTATTACATTGAAAATAGGTTGACAGTTGTCATTTAACTTTTAAATGGCAGAAAATTGAGCAGTGAGACTACAGAGACATAATCTATTTTATACAACAAATCTGAGTCATTAAACTAAAGAAGTTTTGGTGACAATAGTGTCCTTTTAAGTTCTCATTTTATAGCACCAGACACTGGTAAGAAACTGCATGCTTCTCCCACCTGGTTTTTCACCTTTCACGTCACTGGACATAGAATAAGTGTAAAAAATGTACTTTGTAATGGTGTTAATGTAGACTCTTTCTTAATTTCTTCTTGTCTTCAGTTGATTGATATATATACACGTCTTTTGTATATATATTCTTGGGCCAAATGCTCGCCACAATAATATATGTCTATATTATTGAAAAGTAGTAATACGCAATCTGACTTACGGTTTCTTCAGGTTTATTCTTAGTTACGGATACATAAAACAACAAATGATGTTACAGGATAATGGACATTCAACAGCAGATGGTAATTGCTGGACTTCTGATGGGAGAGTTACATCGTTGTACAGAGCCAAGCCAAGACTGAGAGCGACCTCGTGTCCCTCTGTTACTATAAGGAAGTGCTAATACTAACGTCAGCATATAACTCTAGCAATATAAGGACAAAACCCCCACATCCACATTCTAGAGCTCTCGGACAAAGAAAGCCTTGTGACTTATTGATACCATCTGTTACTTATGTCAATCCACACATCCATATATATAATCAATAGAAACATAGAATATGCAATATTCTACAATAAGGGAGGAAGAAAAATTGTAGATTATGCTAACGCAGTGTACCTATAATCTTTTATTAAGGACAGGATTCCAGCAGCACAGATTTAACAATAAAGTTTAGTGAAAAAAACATTGCAACAGGGTATAAAAGGCCTCTACCCCTGTATCTCTTCCTCTTTCTTTGATGCAATATAACAAGAAACACATGCTTTAAATACAATAAACAACAATAACAATGAAGATTCAGACTGTAAACGATCCAAATCCCAAATGGATGGCTTTTGTAGAGTGTGAAGACGATCCCATGTATTGATCCATGAAGGTGAATCAAACTGAAAAGAAACAAAAGATGTTAAAGGGACTTGGAAATGAACTGTTTGTCATAAATACATTAATATATATATATATATATATATATTCAAATTGTGTGTAATAAGTAATCATAACAAATAATTAATTGTAATTTCAATTTGTGTGATATGAAATAAATCACATAATAATTAAATAAACACGCCCCCCCGAATTCAAATCTTTATTGAAGTAAAAACCAATGAATCATATAAACATGGAGGGAAATAAAGGGTGGGAAAATACTTGCCTCCTGTCCTTAATAAAATTAAGATTATAGGTACGCTGCGTTAGCATTATCTACAATTTTATAACATGACAGAAGGCATATTTGCATTTTTAAAGCTGTGGAAGAAAAGCAAAAGAAGCATGAGAAACCTGACGGAAAGAAAAAAAAACGGAATGCACTTTCTCTAGCAGAGTCCACAGATCGCAATATGTTGGTAGGCGAAGCACCCACTGGAAAAACCTTCTATGTGGCTGAGTCCTGAACCGAGTGTGCGCCAAAACAAGAGTCTACAGTTGCTAGAGATATCAGCCAGCAAATGAAATAAGAAGCGGTATGCGCTACATATCCTAGTAATGTCTCCACCACGCAAAGGTGGGGAACAGTCCGAAAACTATATATGAGACGGAGGAAAGGTCTGTTTTAGTTCGACGCGGAATAGAAAACGACATTCCTTCCAGAATGAAGGAAAAAACGTCCACGTCGAACGCTCGAACGTCCGCAAACCCATCGAAAAGAAAAAGACACAAAAATTTAAGTTTAGCTGAGAGCAGGCGCAAAGACAATTCTGTAATGTCTTGCCATTCACAAAGAAAATGTAAAACTAGATCCATGTCCCACATACGCGAGTATTTGGGAGCAGGTGGTCTAGACAGGCGAATCCCCCTCAGAAGGCAACAGACCAGAGGGTTCTGGCTCATAGGAATGCCCTGTAGGGGAACATGAGCCGTTGAGGTAGCCGAACGCGTAACAATGATACGACTTACCTGACAGAAAAAAATGGAATAAGAAATTTAATACGGCAGTAACAGGTGCCGTAAAGGGATTGAGATCCCTCTCTATACACCAATTACTCCACCATGTCTATTTTGCGCCGTAGCTCCTTCTAGTGCCTGGGGCCCAAGAGTCCCCTAGTAGTTCCTTAGTTGATGGCGATAAGCAATCGAATGACCAGGATCCCCTGAAACCATCCAGGGCACTTGGTCCAAGTTTATTTATATCGCTTGCTAAACATTTTATTGAGTTGGGCCACTCTGTAGCGCAATTACGTTTCCAAGCTATAGAAGGTATCAAGACACCTTTGCCTGGCTATTCCCTTGCAGACTCACTTAAACGTGCGGAATTACGTTGGATTTATCGCTTGAACACACTATTCCCTTATGGGTTAAATGAAGACTGTGATTTCAATCCTTTTAGGTAAAATCATCAAATGTTACTTGGTCATTGGTTATGAAAGTTTGATTACACTTGTTGGGATATTCCTTCTGGGATTGCACTGTGATTATTATTACTTTTTCAGTTTACTACCTCTGCCTGTGATTTGCCAGATTCTGGATTTATTACTAATGATTTTATTATGTTTATTTCTATCTCCAGATCTATTTTTTTGCTGGGTTTGTCATGTCTGGGTGGCCCTCATCGATTGAATACCTTTTATGAAGATCTACGGACTTTTGACTTCTTTGGTCTACTTCTCGTGTGGAAAAACTCTATCGACACAATTATTATACATATGTTATATTGTGCCTGTCCTTAGGACTTGTATGTGAATTGACTTTTGCCTTTACATACATGTGTATAAAGACGTAAATATCAATTAACACCTGAAAATATTGGCAAAGCATTTAATTCCTTCTATCAAAAATTTTATAATTTACCTAGTTATTCTTATAATCCAGAAATATATTTTAAAAACAAAAATTTAAAAAAAATTATCAGGAGAACAATTGAATTCTATTAATCAACCCTTCTCAGAAACTGAAATAATAAGTGCAATCAAGTCCTTAAAAAAAAATAAAACACCGGGGCCGGATGGTTACCCAAATATATTTTATCAGCAATTCCAGGACGTCTTAGTAATACACCTTAAAGATCTCTTTAATAATATAGTCAGAGAAAAAGATATACCTAACGAACTATTATACGCCAACATAATTCCCATACAAAAGCCAGATAAACCTAAGGAATTTGTAGCGAATTATCGTCCTATATCTCTATTAAATTCTGATATAAAAATTTATGCAAGTATCTTGGCGAATAGATTACAAGGAGTCCTCCCGTCTATTATTCATGGGGATCAGGTTGGTTTTTTGAAGGACAGGCAATCAAATAATAGTATAAGAACAATGATTGATATTCTGGACTACGCTCATGAATCGGGTACTCCATTGCTGGCCCTGTCATTGGATGCCGAAAAGGCCTTTGACAGGGTCAGATGGGACTTCCTTAGGGAGGCCCTAAAAGCTTTTGGCTTTGAAGGCTGGGTTCTGAGCGCAATTATGGCCTTATATAGCTCCCCAATGGCTAGAACAATTGGGAGGGGGATAATCTCTGAGTGGTTTAATATAAGGAACGGGACAAGACAGGGGTGTCCCCTGTCCCCATTGCTATACCTACTATACATAGAACCCCTGATTTGCGACATTAGAAATAATGACAAAATTATGGGAATTAAAATAGGTCAAGAGGAATATAAAACGCTACTTTATGCTGACGATGTTTTAATCACTATAACAGACCCTATAACATCAATAGATGAACTGATAAGGCTGATTCATGAATTTGGCCAGTATTCCAATTTCAAGCTAAATGTAGATAAGACAAGTATTCTCGCAAAAAATATAAAAAAGGAAGAAAAATTATATATTAAAGCGAAATATACTTTTGAATGGGTAAAAACTTTTTTTGTTTATTTGGGTATAAGGATTTCTAGTAACCCCGCTAAGATTCTAGAATATAATGTTATGCCTTTAATGATGCAAATTAATAAACAATTGAAATATATGAGAACAGCAGAGATATCATGGACAGGTAGAATTAATGTTGTAAAGGCCTATTTGATCCCTAAATGGAGCTATGTATTCCGTATGCTACCAATGAAAATGCCTAAACCATGGCTCCTGATGATCCAATCAGCCTTAGATAAATATATATGGATGGGGAAAAAACCTAGGGTTAGTAAAAAAATCTTGAACCTAAAACCTAAACTAGGAGGGATGGGAGTACCCAATATTACATATATTTATGAATCTTGCTCATTGGCACATATTATTTCATCTATGAAAGAGAGCTCTAGGGGAGAATCATGGGCAAAGATTGAAGCTAAAAGAGCAGAAATTCCAGATCTAATGGCTCTATTTTGGAATATACACAAAGGGGAGAGAGATGATATGGGCCTAATTCTAGATAAATTATTGGTCCAATGGAGAATCTGGAAAAAAAGACTCAAAATTACAGATAAAATTATTATTGGCCTACCCATGCAGGTTTTGTCTATTAATATTAAGGATCTTAATCTTGAGCCATGGTTAAATAAAGGCATTAATAGAATAAATCAGTTATTTCAACAACAACAGATTAGACCTTTTGAAGAGATCAAACAGGCCTTTTCTCTTTCCTACAGAGAAAGTTTTACGTACTTAAGGATAAAATACTTCTTAATGAGACACAGAATAGTGGAGATCTCTGAGGAATTACAAATGTTCATAAATTTATTAAATATCACATATAGTAAAAATTTAGTCTCTAAATGCTCCAATATCTGTAGTAAGTATAAGCCACTCCCTGAATTTCCAGCTATAAAAGCTTGGGAAAAAGATATACAAATTAGCATTATGAGAAGTGAATGGCTTAAGGCTAATAATGCAGTAATGAAAGCTTCACATTGCTTAAATCTATCGGAAAGTCACTATAAGGTTATCAACAGATGGCATTATGTACCAGCTAAATTAGCAAAAATATATCCAGGTAACCAATATCATTGCTGGCGTTGTGCTTCCCTTATAGCAGACTATGTGCATATATGGTGGTCATGTCCGATTATAGCTCAATTATGGCAAAAGGTAGCGAAATTCTGTAGGGAAGAAATAGAAGTGGATCTTGATTTTACTTGTAGTTCTATGATATTACATATGGGATGGCCCACAATTCCAAAGGATAAAAAAGAAATAATTATCCACATTCTTGTAGAAACTAAAGCCACTCTCGCAAGATTCTGGAAAACCTCAGATTCCCCGTCATGGGAGATGATAAAACATCAGGTCTTGAATAATTGTAAAATGGAAATAGGGATATTGAGACAAGATAATTATTACAATCCACGAATTGAACAATGGCAGAAATGGATTGCAAAATTAGGAAGAAGTAATGTGACTTAATATATACTAAGGTTTATACGTCTTGGAATTGTAGATAGGGTAGTGGATCCTGTGCATAAATTTCTAAATTAGCCATAGGTTTACGGAGCCTGATTGGTAGAAAAAATATTTGTCAAAGATTATGGTTTTAGGTTCCTAGGAGCAATATGCGACTAACTCTCGGCAAAGGGCAGCTTTTTTTTTTTTTGTTAATATAATATATAAGGGGAGAAGGTAAAGGAAGGAAGGAGGGAAGAGGTGAAGAAAGAGAAGGGGAAGGAGTAAGAAAAGAGACAGAACAAAAGGTGGATAAAGCCTTTCTGGATTTATTGTAAATCTCTTTCTGCATTGAAGGTGACTGAATTGTAATGTTTTTATACATATTTTTTTTGCTATTTCTTTTTTTGATGTTTATTGTCCAATGTCTGTTTATTGTTGTAACAATGTTTGTGAATCTCTTTTTGTTTGTTAAAAGAAAAAAAAAAAAAGAGAAAAGGAAATATTATAAAAGAAAAAAGAAAGGGAATGAAAAAAAGAAAAACTTTTTCAATAAAGATTAAATATATTAAAAAAAACACGTAAATATCTAATATTCATTGCTTTTTATTCAATGTGATTATATAGTCGGGATCCCTTTATATGTTTTGAGATGCATTGACTAGATATGCATGCATCCTTGTCCCTTTAACGATTTTGGTCGTCTATTATTATTTGGATGTTGGTACTAATTATGTTTACCCTCGATCAATGGATATATTATTGTACGTCTTTATCATCAGGATGACATTCATATTGGTATTACATCTGTTGTCGGCTATCAGTTGTCTTTAATACTGAGTTTCAGTATTCTTTCATATATTTTGTTATTGGCTCTTTATTTTCTATCTATTTGTTTTTTTCATATTTCTTCTTATTATCCATTTGCCTTATATAGGAGCTTTATTTGGCTCCTTGGGTATTTCTAGCTGTTCATAATTATTTTTGCTCTGTTTTCCTACACATACACGTTATAGCCACTTCGGGCTTTAATTATGTCGCTTGAACGCATGCGCAGGACGCAGACCGGCTTTGTTTGCCGGATATATTGGAATGCATATCTATGGCCATACCAGTCTGAAAATGCCTGATCGCGTCAGATCTCAGAAGCTATCCAGACTTAGGCCTGGTTAGTACTTGTATGGGAGACCAACTAGGAACCTCCATTTCATTCAGCCGATTCCCGGGTTTGGCAACTTGAAACGCATGCTGTTGCTCGCACCTCGCTTTCACTCAGGACGGATTGAATTTTATCTTTTCCAGTAGCCTGATCGGCTGATCTCTGTTCTGGGTGTGTTGATTTCTTTTATGTGTATGTAATATATGTTTTACTTTTTGTTTATGTGAAGACCTTTGGTCTGTTCAATTGAATATGCTGTTATTTGTAATAGGATTTATTTTATTTTTTTGAAATTTGTAGTTTATTGGTTTTCCACAAGCATAAATGGGAGGGGGGAAGGGGAGAGGGTTACAGAAAAAAGAAGGAGGAGGAATGGGGGAAGGGTGTACAGTCATGATACAATGAGTCACATGTTTAACGATGGGTTATGCATTTACATTGTTTACACAGTTACATTGCTTGCAGTTGCGTACGTTGATTCATTTTTACACAATAGTCGGGGTCCTCTCCGTGGTAGTCGCCCCAGCTAGCCACTTTTCCAGACTCACTTTATGCTATTCTGTCTGTCTCTTAGCTCCTCACTGCCTGACTATCCTAGCCCTGGCATGCCCATTTAGGCCTGCAATTTGCTCTAGGGTCGTTACAACGTGCTGCTAGACTAGGAGTTGTGGGTTAGCCGTTCTCCAGGTGCGCCATTGGTCCCAAGCTCCTCCCAGGCGGCTTGAGCCAGAACGCATCCCGGAAAAACTTGTTTCATAAATTGCCTGGTTATCTATATCCTGAATAAGGTGTTGGATATTAGGGGCCCCATTTGTCTTCCAGGCTCTAGCTATTAGTTTTTGTGCTGTCAGCAGGATATGATATATTAGTTTTCTCGACTGTATGGGTACTTCCTTGGGTACATCCAGTAGCAAAAAGGTTATGGGCTCAAGAGATAGTTTGACGTTTGTGGTGTCAGCAATGAGTTTTTGGACATCGCCCCAGTACCTAATTAATCGTGGGCAACGCCACCATATGCGAAGGACTGACCCCGCCTCTTGTTTGCATCTCCAACACGTCGAAGACGAGTGGGGATACAGTTTATGTAAGCGAAGCGGCACCATATACCACCTGTATATTGTTTTCTGGTATTGCTCCATGAGGGAGGCAGATTTGACCAGCTTCCTAACGGAGGATGTGAGAGTTTTCCACTGATTGTCAGTGATGGAGGTCTGAAGGTCCATTTCCCATTGGCTTGCCTGTGTTGAGCCAGATAGGGACTGGTATGGCAGAATTAGTTTATAGCAACTTGAGAGTGGCTTATAAGTTGGAGGAATTTTACCCGTGATACTTATTTGTTCCCAGGTTGAGGGTTCTCCCTGTTTATTAGATTCTACCTTGTTATCCTTGTTGAGTTTGTGCAAGAAGGATTTAAGTTGGATGTATGAGTATTGTGATGTGTGTGGGATATTGTAGGTTCTATTGAGACGCTCGAAGCTCATCAGTCCACCTGGGTCAAAGGCTTGGGACAGGAAAGAGATACCTTTCTCTTTCCATGGAGTGGCATGAAAGATGGGGATGCAGTACGTGATGGCCTCGATGGGCGTCGCCATTGAGAGGGGGTGGGCCGTTTCAAACTTCGTTCTGTGTAAGTCCCACGTTTGCATTGCTAGTTGAAGTTGTAGGGGTATCAGCGGGATGGTTGGCCTGCTCCTGTTAGGTAGCCATAACAGGTTGGTGACTAGGAAAGGTTTAATAGCTAGGTTTTCTAAGGTCACCCATTGTGGTCGGTTATCTTTAGTTAGGTGGTTCATTAGGGGCGCCAGAACCGCAGCCTGGTAGTAGTATTTTACATTCGGAAATGCCATTCCTCCATGCCCTATGGGGGCCGACAATAGTTTGCTAGAGACCCTTTCCCGTCCCTTGCCCCAGATAAACTGGAGGAGCGTAGACTGTATGGCTTTAAAATAGGATTGTGGAACTTTCAAGGGAAGGTTCCTAAACACATATTGTAGTTTCGGTAATACAGTCATTTTAATTGCGACAATGCGCTCCGTCCAAGTAAGGAACAGTTTGCCCCATCCCCGTAACAGTGCCAAGCACTCAGTCCAGACTCTGGTGTAGTTGGTAGGGAACATGTCAGAGGTCTTCCTAGTGAACGTCAGGCCTAAGTATTTTATATCGTTTTTTTCTCCACTCGAATTGGTAATCTTTGCGTAGTTGCGCTAGGACCTGTGGGTCCAAGCGCAGCTCCAATGCCTGAGTCTTGGTTGTGTTTAGGGAATAGTAGGAAAGTTCCCCATATTTTTCAATGAGATTCATGATGTGAGGGAGGGATTTATCTGGTTGGCAGACATATAGCAGGATATCGTCGGCAAATGCGCTGATCTTAATATGCTGGTCCTGCCAGATGATGCCTTCTATATCTGGATGCGATCTGATGGCAACTAGTAGTGGCTCCAAGGCCAGCACGTACAGCAGGGGTGACAAAGGGCACCCCTGTCGGGTGCCATTTGTAATTTTGAATGGATCTGATTTAAATCCCGCCTGTAGTACCTGGGCCCTAGGGTGACAGTATAGAGCGAATACTTGTTGAATGAACTGTTGTGGGAATCCAAACACTGAGAGAACTTGCCGTAGGAAGGGCCAGCCCAGGCGGTCGAACGCTTTTTAAGCATCTAAGGCTAAGAGCAACCCACCTGGGCCAGACCTCCGCATCTGCTCCATGAGCAGGGACAGTTTCCGGGTATTATCGAGCCCCTGCCTCCCCATCACAAACCCTGTTTGGTCGTCATGGATGATTGAGGGTAGTATTTTGCCCAATCTGGAGGCCAAGATCTTTGCGTATATCTTAGCATCCGTATTTAGCAGTGATATTGGCCTGAAATTCTTACATTGATCTGGGGGCTTTCCTGGCTTTGGCAACGTAACTATGGTCGCTAGTAGCATTTCGGGAGGAAGCTCCCCTTTCTCTGTGGCTACCTGGAATACTTTAACTAATCTGGGACCCAGTACCTCCGCAAATGTCTTGTAATACAGGTTGGGGAGGCCATCTGCTCCTGGGGATTTGCCCGGGTAAAGGTGTTGTATCGTATGGAGCACCTCCCACAGTGTAATAGGTTGGAGTAATAAATCCAAATGGGATTGATTAATTTGTGGGAGGTTAAGGTGGGACAGAAACTCCGTAATGTTGTCGTCTTGTATAGGGGGGATTTCGGGTTTGTCTCCTAGATTGTACAGGTCGGAGTAGTATTTTGCAAACTCCTGAGTAATATCTAATGGGTTTTGTATTTTGGTGCCGTCCGGGCCCTGTATGTATGCTACTTTGGCGGCCGCCAATTTCTCTCTCAGCCTATTAGCTAATTGTTTATTAGCTTTCCCACTGTGGTGGTAATGAGTCGCTTTCATTTTAAGTAGGAAGTAGGACGTTTTGGCTGCGTGCATTTCGGTAAGTTTGTCCGTTAGGGTTTGGATTTGTTGTGCGAGAGTGTGTGAAGGTGCCTGCTTATTTTGGGCAGTGATAATTGCCAGTTGTTTTTGGCAGTCCATTATAGTCAATTGTTTGTTTTTCTTTTTAAGATATGAGGAGCGTCTAATAAACAGGCCTCTTACTACAGCTTTGTGTGCCGACCATACCATGACATCTGGGGTTTCCCCCTCAGAGTTTGTTTGGAAGTAATGGGAGAGTTCTACTGCCACTTGATCTACAAAGGTTTTATCCTTTAGTAAGGATTCATTTAATCTCCAATTCCCTCTACCTTTGAACTGAAACTTGTCATACAACTCCAGGGTCACTGGACTATGGTCCGACCAAGTTATGTCTCCCATAACACACCCTGAGATCTGCGCCAGTGTGGACTGGTCCACATAGAAGGTGTCAATGCGAGTATACGTGTTGTGTACCGTAGAGTGAAATGAGTAATCTCGTTCGTTAGGGTGAAGTACTGTCACGGTTCTCACCTGATAGACAGACGGCAAGACGTGGTCGCTCTTGGAGTTCCCAACAGGGGACTTGAACTGGTCCTGCTTTCTACCTCTGAGCCTGCTTTCTTCCCTCGACCATCCTGCTGGTTCAGTCCTTGCCTGTCCTGCGTATTGGTACTGCATCCTGCACAGCCCCCGTGCACAGACCCACAGGCCAGGTGAATTCTTACCTGACCACCTCGGCCTGTGGCTATCTGCAAGGGTGAGTGTCATATCTGCGCTACAGACTCCCAACTCAGGTAAGACCCTGACATAAGACTTGACCATTATGGAGTCCGCAGAGATGTGCTCACCCTCGACCCAGCGTGTGTCCAGCCTGGCCCAGACTGTTTCGGAGCTGCAGCAAGAAATTTTATTCCTTAAAGGCGCGGTACATCCAGCCCCGGAACCAGCTTTTCCTGAACCGTTTGTCATCATGCCCGACCGATTTGATGGTAGCCGCACATCCTTTCAGTCTTTCAAGATGGATTGTGAGGTGTTGTTTTCTTTAAAGCCTCGAACATATGCCACAGAATTCATCAGGGTCAGAGCGGCTATCAACTTGTTGTCTGGACGCATCAAAGTTTGGGCTCACCAAATGTTGCAGACGAAGAGTCCTGTCCTGGTCAGCTGGGAATCCTTTAGTACTGCTATGGACTCACAATGTAAGACCACTGTGGCCAAGTCAGCTCCACGTACTAAAAAACCTCAGACTCTTCCTAACCAAGAAACCGAGTACCACCACTACGCCCCAGAAATGCCTCCTTATGTTCCAGCTCCCAGGAAAACTCCAGAGGTATCCGGTGTTCCACTTGACCCTGTGGAACCTATGCAATTAGGACTCGTCCACTGCAAAGTGACACCTAAGGAAAAAGACCGAAGGAGAAGCTATGGCCTATGTTATTACTGTGGAGAAAAAGGGCATTTAATCACGCTTTGTCCTGTTCGCCCTCCTAGACCTCCAGCTCTCCGACTTGGTACTAGTTTCCTTCGCCCTGTGTACACCGCATACCAGCCTAAAAAGCCAAATAGAAGCCGTTGTGCTTGCACATGCTTGGCTTCCGCGAGAAGACCTCCATCCCCTGCTCCAGAGCCTCCTGCATCTACTCCCGAAGTTGCTTCCTGTGATACCACCACTACTTCCTGCCAGCCCGAAGAGGTTTTACCTGTGGATTGTGCCGTTGCTTCTAATGGCACTATAGTCCGTAAAGAAGACCTTGAAATGTTCGAAAAAGCATTGTTAGCTGCGAACACTGCTCCTGCCAAAGTTTTGGAAGTGCTTGCCACCTGTACCCAGAACCTAAAAGACCTGGACAATTCTCCAGCCGTACCAGAAGCTGGTACTGCGGACTCCCAAGCTGTAAAGGGAATCCTTGCTGGGGAGTTTGACTATGGGGACTCACTGGATTCAGATAGTGACCCTGGAGAGGTGTACTATGCTGACAGTGAACCTATTTACGCCCGGAGGTCGTTTTTAAAGGGGGGGGTACTGTCACGGTTCTCACCTGATAGACAGACGGCAAGACGTGGTCGCTCTTGGAGTTCCCAACAGGGGACTTGAACTGGTCCTGCTTTCTACCTCTGAGCCACAGCAGCTATTTACAATGAAGACTGATTCCAGTCCTGTTCATCCTGACATGGCTACTACTCTGGGGGCTGCACCTTGACTTGGCTGTGTTTCACCTGACTCTGATCAGTCATCAGCAGGGTATTTAAACCCAGCCTCGCCCTGTGCTCAGTGTCAAGTCTTTGATCCTGTTTGTTCCAGTGTTCCTGTTTCATCGCTTTGCATTATTGACCCCGGCTTCCTGACTCGTTTATTCTGACTTCTGGCATCCCTTGACTTCGGCTACTCCTCGTTGTTCCTGTCCTCTGGCATCCTTTGACCTCGGCTATCCCTCGACCATCCTGCTGGTTCAGTCTTTGCCTGTCCTGCGTATTGGTACTGCATCCTGCACAGCCCCCGTGCACAGACCCACAGGCCAGGTGAATTCTTACCTGACCACCTCGGCCTGTGGCTATCTGCAAGGGTGAGTGTCATATCTGCGCTACAGACTCCCAACTCAGGTAAGACCCTGACAAGTACTCTCCAACTATCGTATAGATTGTGTAGTAAAAGTATTTTGGACAGTTTCTTGCTCGTGGAAACTAAACTCGCTCGCCTAGTCCCCTTCAGGGTAGCGGTTGAGTCTATGTCCGGAGACGTTATGAAGTTAAAGTCTCCACATATCACTAATCCTCCCTGCCTCAGTTTATCTATTTCATTAAGTATGTGTCTTAGGAACCTCTCCGCTCCAGTGTTGGGGAAATATACCGAGGACAACGTGTATTGAACATTATTGAATAAACCCACAAGAACAATATACCTTCCCTGGGTATCTATAGAAATTGCTTGCTCCTGGAACGCTATGTCTTTGTGCATGAGGATGGAAACTCCTTTTGTCTTGTTGTCTGAGAGGGCATGGTACTGTGTGGGATATAGTTTAGTGAAAATTGAAGGGGTTCGAGTTTTCATGAAGTGCGTTTCCTGAACACACGCTATATCTATCTCGCCTTTCTTAAGATCCTGCAGTAGTAGCCTGCGCTTCCCCGGGGAGTTTAGTCCTTTTACATTGTATGTTAGAATTTTAACCATTGTGGAGTAGGTAAGTTAGGGGCACTTTTAGTCCTGGTCATTGGTACCGTAGGAGTTGTAAAAACAGTGACGTACTCCAGCAGTACGCATTTGCTATGTCGTTGTTTTTTTGAGCTGTATGGATCGTGACTAGGGGGAGCTGGTGTAGGGTGGGGCGAAGGGTGAGTAGGTGGGCAGGGTGGGTTGGGGAGAACTGGTGGGTGACACACCCAACTCGGCTCCAAGATGTGGGGCCGTGTGACCTTACTTATTGAGTAAGTACGTCTGGTGGGGGTAGTGGTGGTGAAGTTTCTACTCATAGTGAACTATCACCATGAAACCAGAGGGGCAGTCGTACGCATAGTTATACTATCAGTAAGTCATTAAAAATAAACACAAAACTTCGAAGTAGCTTAACAACTAACTAAACCCAGCCACTCTACACAGTATCATTCTACAGTTTGCCAACATTTGTGCTCGTGCCCCCGTGAGAGGGCTATTAAAGGCTTGGTGGGCAGCGTCATACTCTAGCCAGCAATCCTTGCTGCTTAGTTTAAGGAAACCATTCTGTACCCGCTACATTTATGCGGTAAACTTAACTATCTCTAATATGAACTAATAATATAACGTCTAGGTTTGCCCTATAGGGCATGTTTAGTTACGTATATTACCGGAGGTTACCAGTCTTTTCATTTTACAGTCCACTCTGGCGACTTCCTTGGCATCGCTGTTGTCTTAGCTGGTTCTGGTGTCGGCGTAGGGAGCCCCCAGTCACCCATTTTCTGGATACCTTGCTTCAGGTTGGTAATAGAATGTATCACTCCTTGATGGGAGATCAAAAGCTTAGCAGGGAATCCCCATCGGTAGCTCAGGTTGTGCTCACGTAGAATGGAGGTGATCGGCGACATTGACTTCCTGAACTGCAGCGTATCTGCTGACAGGTCCGCGAAGATTCTGATGGTGCTGTATTCTTTCGGCATGCCCGAATTCCTGCTGACTCGCATGAGCTTGTCTTTTGCGTGGAAAAAATGTATCCTGGCAATTACATCTCTCTCAGCCGTTTGCGGCAGGTGTTTCGGCCTGCGTAGCCTGTGTGCTCTGTCTATAATCAGTTGGTCTGGATGAATTTCTGGGGCCAGGCACTGGAACATGCCTGACAAGTACGGTAATTGTGCAGTTCGGCGTTGGTAACGGTTTCCGGGATTCCCCTGAACCGGAGATTGTTTCTCCTCGCCCTGTCTTCTATGTCAGCCAGTTTTAGCCTGTGCGCTTCCAGACTTACTTCAAATTCCTGAAGTTTATCTGCCAAGCTATTGTGTGCCTCCGCATATTCGTCCATCTTGGACTCCATTTGAGCTGTGCGAGTCCCAATATCTTGTATATCCTTCTGTATGTCTGCTGTCATAGCTTGTATTTGCAGCTGCATGTTTTTCTGTATGGTGTCTGAGAATTCTGACATTAGTGAACGCATTCCCCTCACTGTAAGTGGTTGATCCTCTGCGCTCTGTGTGGGAGATGAGCGAGGTGAAAGGGAGTGTTCCTGCGGTCCCGGGTCGCCGCCATCTTGTACAGGCTCTTCTCCCTCATGCTGTTTGGAGGCCGCGATTTTTCGCGCCGAAAAAGGAGGCTCGTTCCGATTTCCCCGTTTTGGATTTGGGTCTGTGAGCCATTGTGCACATGAGCCCCTGGTAATTGGTATGAGTATTGCTCGGTATACCGCTTATTTATTTCCCGTTCTGGTTTCTATGCAGGGAGCTGCTCCTACATGCGTCCGCTCAGCTCCGGCGGCAAGCCACGCCCCCTGTGCCTTCATTTTTAATACTTCAGAGACATACTATGCATCGAAATGTAGGTATGGGTCTCGAGATTCTCTCAATATAAAGCTCTTTGCTGTAGGATGTATAGTTTTTAAAATACGACCGTTTGAAGATGGCAACCGCCAAAATACTCTGACCTGTGCCAGGCTGCAGCAGCAAGTGATGTCATAGACAGGGCCTTTTGAACACCTGCTAATGTTTTATGTCAGTTCATTCTCGATAAATCATGTATAATAACAAATGATAAGTATATCCATCTATCGAAGTTGTAGACTCCTGGTGGAAGCAGAACACTCACACAATTTCCCCAGAAATTGTAGCCTCTAGATTATTAGAAAAGTGTTCTTGCCGCGAACATTATCTCACATATATATTATTATTATTAAGTGTTCTTGGCATAGCAAGACCACTTAATGTTATCTCACATATATATTATTATTAAGTGTTCTTGCATAGCAAGACCACTTATTATCTCACATATATATTGGTGTTCTTGCATGGCAAGACCACTTGTGTTATCTCATATATATTATTATTAAGTGTTCTTGCATAGCAAGACCACTTAATGTTATCTCATATATATTATTATTCTTATTATAGCCAAATTTACCACCCTAACTCCTCCCATAGTTTTTACACTACATAGACAGTAATACACCGAAACGTGCAGATTGTTCGCGATTGGATTGCTATTACTTTGTGGAACGTTTCGCCAAATGGTTCATGGAATATCGTCATTCTTGTGGCGAAATTGGTCCCATAGGAATGAATGGCAAAATGTTCAAAACTAGAGTGGGAGCTGGCAAAAGCTGAAAAATCAGGACATGATTTCTAAACTGCCACCACTCCCTTATTTTCAGGCCCACCTACACAAATCTTATATCAAAACGTTCAGCTATACCTCCTGCCACTAAACATGTCAACGGCTAAGCCATAGTCCTGATAGTTTTCACAATATAATCATTTGTTTGCAACTAACGCCGTCCATTGACATTCATTGAAACTTCACTCTGCAAAGCTCAAATTTGAAGTGCAATTTCTAAACTGCGACTGTGCCTTCAATTTTAATACTTCAGAGACATACTATGCATCAAAATGTAGGTCTGGGTCTTGTGATTCTCACAATATAAAGCTCTTCACTGTAGGAGTTATAGTTTTTAAGATACGAACGTTTGAAGATGGCAACCGCCAAAATACTCTGACCTGTGTCCAGCTGCAGCAGCAAGTGATGTCATAGACAGGGCCTTTTGAACACCTGCTAATGTTTTTATAAATGTATGGTTTAATGTAACTGTGCAACAATGTTGCAATTAAATGTGCTAAATAAAGTATAACAGTTACTCCGCCCACTCCAGTTGTAGACTACTGGTGGAGGCAAGAACACTTCACACAATTTCACCAGAAATTGTAGCTTTTCTAGTTATTATTATTATTATAGCAAAATTTGCCACTAACTCCTCCCACAGTTTTTACACTACATAGACCAAAATTTACCAAAACGTGCAGATTGTTCCCGATCGGATTGCTATTACTTTGTGGAACGTTTCGCCGAATGGTTCACGGAATATCGTCGTTCTTGTGGCGCAATTTGTCCCATAGGAATGAATGGCAAAGCTAGAGTGGGAGCTAGCAAAAGCTGAAAAATCAGGACATGATTTCTAAACTGCCACCACTCCCTCATTTTCAAGCCCACCTACACAAATCTTATATCAAAACGTTCAGCTATCCCTGCTGCCACTAAACATGTCAACGGCTAAGCCATAGTCCTGATAGTTTTCACAATATGACCATTTGTTTGCAACTAACGCCGTCCATTGACATTCATTGAAACTTCACTCTGCAAAGCTCAAATTTGAAGTGCAATTTCTAAACTGCGACTGTGCCTTCAATTTTAATACTTCAGAGACATACTATGCATCAAAATGTAGGTCTGGGTCTTGTGATTCTCACAATATAAAGCTCTTCGCTGTAGGAGTTATAGTTTTTAAGATACGACCGTTTGAAGATGGCAACCACCAAAATACTCTGACCTGTGTCAAGCTGCAGCAGCAAGTGATGTCATAGACAGGGCCTTTTGAACACCTGCTAATTAAGTGTTCTTGCATAGCAAGACCACTTAATGTTATCTCACATATATATTGTGTGTATTATTATAGCAAAATTTGCCACCCTAACTCCTCCCACAGTTTTTACACTACATAGACAAAAATTTACCAAAACGTGCAGATTGTTCCCGATCGGATTGCTATTACTTTGTGGAACGTTTGCCGAATGGTTCACGGAATATCGTCGTTCTTGTGGCGAAATTGTCCCATAGGAATGAATGGCAAAGCTAGAGTGGGAGCTGGCAAAAACTGAAAAATCAGGACATGATTTCTAAACTGCCACCACTCCCTCATTTTCAAGCCCACCTACACAAATCTTATATCAAAACGTTCAGCTATCCCTGCTGCCACTAAACATGTCAACGGCTAAGCCATAGTCCTGATAGTTTCACAATATGACCATTTGTTTGCAACTCACACCTTCCATTGACATTCATTGAAACTTCACTCTGCAAAGCTCAAATTTGAAGTGCAATTTCTAAACTGCGACTGTGCCTTCAATTTTAATACTTCAGAGACATACTATGCATCAAAATGTAGGTCTGGGTCTTGTGATTCTCACAATATAAAGCTCTTCACTGTAGGAGTTATAGTTTTTAAGATACGACCGTTTGAAGATGGCAACCACCAAATACTCTGACCTGTGTCAAGCTGCAGCAGCAAGTGATGTCATAGACAGGGCCTTTTGAACACCTGCTAATGTTTTTATAAATGTATGGTTTAATGTAACTGTGCAACAACGTTGCAATTAAATGTGCTATGTAAATGATAACAGTTACTCCGCCCACTCCAGTTGTAGACTACAGGTGGAGGCAAGAACACTTCACACAATTTCCCCAGAAATTGTAACTTTTGCTAATGTTTTTATAAATGTATGGTTTAATGTAACTGTGCAACAACGTTGCAATTAAATGTGCTATGTAAATGATAACAGTTACTCCGCCCACTCCAGTTGTAGACTACTGGTGGAGGCAAGAACACTTCACACAATTTCCCCAGAAATTGTAGCTTTTCTAGTTATTATTATTCTTATTATAGCAAAATTTGCCACCCTAACTCCTCCCACAGTTTTTACACTACATAGACAAAAATTTACCAAAACGTGCAGATTGTTCCCGATCGGATTGCTATTACTTTGTGGAACGTTTCGCCGAATGGTTCACGGAATATCGTCGTTTCTTGTGGCGAAATTTGTCCCATAGGAATGAATGGCAAAGCTAGAGTGGGAGCTGGCAAAAACTGAAAAATCAGGACATGATTTCTAAACTGCCACCACTCCCTTATTTTCAGGCCCACCTACACAAATCTTATATCAAAACGTTCAGCTATCCCTGCTGCCACTAAACATGTCAACGGCTAAGCCATAGTCCTGATAGTTTTCACAATATAATCATTTGTTTGCAACTAACGCCGTCCATTGACATTCATTGAAACTTCCCTCTACAAAGCTCAAATTTGAAGTGCAATTTCTAAACTGCGACTGTGCCTTCATTTTTTTGAAATTTGTAGATTATTGGTTTTCCACAAGCATAAATGGGAGGGGGGAAGGGGAGAGGGTTACAGAAAAAAAGGAGGAATGGAGGGGGGGGGGGAGGGAGTACAGTCACGATACAATGAGTCACATGTTTAACGATGGGTTATGCATTTACATTGTTTACACAGTTACATTGCTTGCAGTTGCGTACGTTGATTCATTTTTACACAATAGTCGGGGTCCTCTCTGTGGTAGTCGCCCCAGCTAGCCACTTTTCCAGACTCACTTTATGCTAAACGTTCAGCTATCCCTGCTGCCACTAAACATGTAAACGGCTAAGCCGTAGTCCTAATAGTTTTCACAATATGACCATTTGTTTGCAACCAACGCCGTCCATTGACATTCATTGAAACCACTCTGCAAAGCTCAAATTTGAAGTGCAATTTCTAAACTGCGACTGTGCCTTTATTTTTAATACTTCAGAGACATACTATGCATCAAAATGTAGGTCTGGGTCTTGTGATTCTCACAATATAAACCTCTTCGCTGTAGGATTTATAGTTTTTAAAATATGACCGTTTGAA